CCCCAAAACCCCAAAACCCCAAAACCCCAAGAAGATACATAAAAATAGACATTTCCTTAACTCTCTTTTTGAGAATGAACTTCTGCACTCTGTTCAAGAGTCTGGTCTCTACAGGTGAATTATTCAAACATTTCATCTTTATATTTCTCTTGTCTTTTAGCCTTCTTTCTAGTTCATTTCAAGCATTTCCATGGTTTCATTGATTTGCAGATATAAAACCAGCCACAAAATAAGTACTTGTAGCAGCATTTACAGTATTTTCATGATAACACAAGGAAGAGAATCCCTACAATAATGAAAGCGATAGTGATTAAAGCCTTGAGGATGCACATGTTCATGAAATAGCACAAGAAAGGTACCATTAGCATGCACGAGCCACAGCTTCCACCAGAGTTATTGGGTTCTTGCACTGCGGGTTCACCTTTAAGTTGACCCCCAGAGTCACCTTGATCAACTGTTTCGTTTACTTGAGCTGATGTTGAGAAGCCAACCTCTTGTTCATCAATCCTGGAGTGATTTGCATCTTTGAGGATTACGAAGCATGTGTAGTTAAGCCCCTCAGTCATCGTTGTATGTATCTTAAAGCTTGATTCATGCTTCTGTTGAGATTCCAAATATACTTGCTGAGATGGGACCGACAAGACTTCATTAGTACAATTCTCCAGTTCAACATAAAAAGAAGCGTCAAGACTATCAGTATTCTGAATCTCAAAGTCAATATAGCCATCAGCAGCCATCGCCTCGAAGTTGTCATTTCTGATAGCTGCAGAAGTTATTTCTCCAGTGGCTACAGCGAGATAGAATTTGAGGTCATCAGCACTCATCTCAATCCTGAGTAGAGTTGTCTGAATTCCAGTGGTCTCATAAGAAAGATACAGCTTTTGTGTCGATAAAGATTGCCTAAAATCAATATTCTCTGGTAAAAATTGACCAGTCACTAGATACTCTGGGGTCTGACCATTCTGTGCTTTCTCAAGATCTTCTAGCAAGATGTGGGAGATTTGGTTCTGGAGACATGACCCAACTGGAACTTTACACTTTGAGCCCTGTGTCTGATATGCTGTGTAACCAACACCAATCTTGTTTCACTCACTGCCATCGAATGTGATCATATCTCGATGAACCAAGAGCCAGTAGTTCATCTGAGTAAATGAAAACTGATCATTTGTAGTAAGAGTATTTGGCTACATAAATTAAGCTGAGCTCCTACCTTGAGCAAAACTTGATGAGTAAGCTGAGGAATTGTCTCTGATTCTTGCAGGTCACCCACAATAGAGACAACCGCCTTCATTTTCTCACTGTTATCTCCGACTCGTGAAGGGCTGACCTACATATTAAGGGAAAGAAGTTACATAGAGGTAGTCAGATTCTGTGCTCTTTCCTTCCTCTTTATAATTGACAATGAAGCCAACATCAATTTCATAATTCAAGACTGGCTCTTGAACTTCGTATCCATGGTAGTAGACATTATTGAATCGAAGTCAATGGGCTGTTGCAGATCCTGAGAAGGCATTCAATGATTGGCATGAAGACCCTCTTTTGAAAGAATCATCAATTCCGATCAAATCTAAGAAATCTCAAGAGCATCAGAATCCTTGGCTATTAGTTATACGCTGGTTATTGGAATCCATAGCCCATCCACAGTCAGGGCTATTATCATAAAGATCATCACTACAAGTGAAGAGGTTTGATTCTACATAAGCTTCATATGGCAGGAAGTTAAAGTCCTGCTTATACACTAAAGGATAATTATACCGAGTCTCTGACTTGGAAATCCCAATCTTAACCACATCTTCAAGTTTACGGACGCTTCCATCGGTCTCATTCACATCTGTCAATGTAGCTACTAAAGTTTGAGATGTGTTCAGCTGATTATTTGGGACGCTTAACAACACTACAAATATAATGTAAAAACTTACTGACTAGCTTCTCTTGGCAATTATCGATACTCTCTAAGTTGGAAGTGCCTGTCGATGAGTCCATTCTACAAGATTCAATTGTGGCCGAAGAGAGCAAATCTGCTGAAGCAACGGTTAGAATCGACAAGATCTACAAATTTTAGAGCTATGGCGTACAGATCAGAAAGAAATGATTGGTCTCGTTAGTCTGACTAAAAGATTCATAATTATTATATTTTCAGCTACATTTTCTGATATAGGGGTTTTGGGGTTTTGGGGTTTTGGGGTTTTGGGG